CTTTTCGTCAAAGCCGGCCAACCCGGCTTGGAGATGGATCAAACCCGACCGGCAGAACCCAGCCAAATCCACTAGTCCAACCCAAACCTTGGGCCTATGTAACCAAGCCTAATTCGCTTAGCCCAGGCTCCACCCACCTAAACCTAACCCAAGCCCAAAACCCCTTGGCCCAATCCAGTTACCCAAAACCCAGCCCCTTGGGCTGGCACGTGGAGCACACACGCCTCCACCGGAGGTACTATGCTCCACCGCCATCCACGGTGGTGACCACGATGGCATTAGTGACCTAACTTGGCGATTGGCCATCCGTGGTGGCGCGTAAGGGTACCCGAGGTCTCCCGTTATGTTTTTCGACGTCCTAAATCCGTTTATGTCATCCGTTTCTTGAAATTCAATCATTATGATAGAGTTTTATTAATTGGACCCTTTATATGCTTAGGTGTAGTTATTTATGGCGTTTCCGTCCACTCTTGTTTGCATGACTTTTCGGCGGCGAAGTATCTGTGAGTGGACCCCTTCAAAAATGCATATTTTTATTATTAGAAGTGCATACATGAAAAGCATGATTTTATGTCTACATTTTATGAAACGGTTATGAGTAATTTGGTTTCACGCTTTATGAATTATCATGCTTATTCGACTTTACGTTCTTTGTGGTATGCATGATTGATGACTATATACCTACTTATAAACTTGGTTTTACGATATAACGTTTTAGTTACTGAGCTTCGATTTAATATATATAGATATATATATATATATATTAGAAATATTATGTTTGTAACATCCTACATCGCCCAGGGGAGTGGATCCTGTAAGCCTTATATGTATATTCCCATCTTTACCTAGCATGAGGCCTTTTGGGAGCTTATTGGCTTCGGGTTCCATAAGAACTCCAAAGTTAAGCGAGTAGCGCGCGAGAGCAATCCCAAGATGGATGACCCACTAGGAAGTTCTTGTGTGAGTTCCCAGAAACAAAACCATGAGGGTGTGGTAAGGGCCCAAAGCGGACAATATCGTGCTACGATGGAGTTGAGCCCAAGATGTGGTGGGGGCCCGGGCCGGGATGTGACAATTTGGTATCAGAGCCAATCCTTGAGTGTGCCGACGACAACGTCGGGCCCTTAAGAGGGGTAGATTGTAACATCCCACATCGCCCAGGGGAGTGGATCCTGTAAGCCTTGTATGTATATTCCCATCTCTACCTAGCATGAGACATTTTGGGAGCTCACTGGCTTCGGGTTCTGTAGGAATTCCGAAGTTAAGTGAGTAGCACGGGAGAGCAATCCCAAGATGGGTGAGCCACTGGGAAGTTCTCGTATGAGTTCTCAGAAACAAAACCGTGAGGGTGTGGTAGGGGCCCAAAGCGGACAATATCGTGCTATGGTGGAGTTGAGTCCGGGATGTGGTGGGGGCTCGGGTCGGGATGTGACAATGTTAATGTTTTTATGTGCTTACTTAGTGGTTATTCATACGATACTGCCTACGGGCGAATGGTCCTACCTACGGGCGAATGATACTCATATATCGCTTCGGCCAAATGTGTGTAGGTGGCTTCGGCCAGAAAATATTTATATATGGCTTCGGTCGGAAGAGTTTTATTTGCGTTCAGGCGAGTAAGGATTTCTATATGCCTTCGGACGAGAAATGATACCACTACTAAGCACATTATATGATATATGTTTTATGAAGTGGCACACCAGGGTTTTTGGAAAACCTATTACATATTATACTATTGAGTTTTCATAAATTTTGGGGGTTAGTACGTTGATGAATAATTGTTTCCATATCACTTATATATCAACTTCGTCCACTCATGTTTTGTTTTGTGCCCCATTAGGACTTAAAATCGAGGCGTACAATCCTAACATCAAGGCACTCCCGCATTGGCATCTTCGAGTCCTCTCGATCTAAGACCCATCCCTTTATTCATTCAATTTAATATTATTCATTTTTAGTGTCTCAAATTAGTTGTATGCTCTAAATACATTCCACAATTGCATATTCATTATAGTTAAATTTGCAAGTTTTATTTATCTTAGTTATTTCTTTCTAGTTCTCATGCATTCTAATATGGCTTCATCATCTTCAGGTGTCAGCCAGCACGTGCCTACCTTGGTATTTGGAGGATATTAGGGTTAGGCGTGTCATACGAGGTGGCTCAGCCACTAAAACGGCTGAGGAGCGCACAACCACCATGAAAACAAGCAAAAGAAGGTGGCTTCGACCCACCACAAACATAATACCACCCCAAAACCGTATACTTGGGATGAAGCTCCATTAAACTATGGAGGTTTGTTCCCAAATAGTGGGTGAAGAGATGGGGAAAGGGGAGGCACATGATAATGTGTGAAGGAGAAAAAACGTAAATAAGAGGATTGCTGCTGACCCTAAGCCATGGCAAGGAGCCAACAACTGGAGGAGAAAAGTTTTAGAGTTTTCTTTTGGATCGCAGGGGAGGAGAGAGGGGAGACATCCAGCCCAAAAATCAATTGGTAATTAGTGACATGTTCATAATCTTTTGATCTATTGATGCAAGGCTTTCATATTCAACCGTGGAATAATACTCTAAAGAGTGAGATTGTTCCATATATACGGTATATATACCAATCTTAGTAGATGGCTCCTAGGAACAAATTCACATCCATAAATCAAATTATATACATATTAATTTACCAATTAGTTAATATGGCACATAAATGAAAGAACCTCCGATGATTAATTGGGTAGGATATAGTAGGTCGAATTATATGTAGCAATAAGAGAAAGATGGATGGTGTTTTCCAATGTCGATCGAGCATGGCCAACATTACACCTTACCTCGCAAACTTGTTATCATCCCTGTGTTTGCAATTAGGTGGGTAAGGAAAATGTCACATGACATGGCATAACAAACAAACAGGAGTATACGTACAGGGTGAGCGATACCCCTTTTGCTAGGTCTAATCAGATCGAATGGAAGCCCCGATTTACGGTTAAAAGTGAGAAATTGGATTGTTTTTTTTTTTTTTTTTTTTTTGAAAAAAATTAGAAATGTCACGAACTGACACGTCTTGTTTTACTTTGCCCTCTAAACTTTCAATTTGGTTTCATGTTAGTGTTCTTCTCGTCGTTTATTTTGTTATTATGTGAAGGCTTGCTAATTTTCTCATACACTAAGCTTCCAATCATTTGTAGTAGCTAAAGCCAAGATAAGCCTCGCAGTTGTGTGTCTAACAATTGGTCTCCTCATAGTCCAGACCTAACTCTTGACAGGTGACAAATTGAAAGTTTAGAAAGACTCAAAGCTAAACGAAAGGTTCGGAGGAATATATGCTGATAATATTTTTCAGTAAAGTTAAGAATGAGTGTGACTAAATCAAATGATCATTGACGGCTGAATATTTTTCATTTCGGACCAAAAATTGGGACTTGGTTATGGAAAATGTCAAATACATGCTAGCTATGACCAGGCCATCACATCAACAAATTATTGGTCACTAAATAGTGATCAAGGCTCCCTGTATTATAAATATACTCGTTAAGGAGCTGCATATATGGCTGGACAATATGGCAGACAAAGTTATACTTCGAATTAGCTTATTAGCAAACCATCAACGAACTCAAATCCAAATTTTAATATATTGATTAAACCAGAAAAGTTCTGTACTCGTATGCTATTTTTTCTTGGGAAATTATTAAATTGGGTTATAGATTGACATCATATATGGTTCATGTGGGAAATGGGGATATATGTATTCTCTCAGTCCACCAGGACCAACTACTTTTTCTATTTCGTAAACCCCTTGTTATCTAGATTTAGGGATATATATATGTAACTTACTAAGCATTCCAATTTAAGAAACTAAATTCAAATAATTATTAGAAACAAACATTAAATGAAGTTTGACCTATACTTTACATAAAATTAAATAAATAATTAAGAGTAATAAATAAATAAAATTCATCAAAAAAAAGAAAAAAAGACATGCGGTTAATTGTTCTAGTAGATAGGACTTGCCAAGGCAGGCGTAAAATGTGGTGATCTCGAGGTTGCGTGGTTTGAAGAGCGCCCAGACTTATTAGCAAATATTTGGATGGATGGTATTTTTATTCCAAGTTTTGTAATGATGACCACTTTTTTCTTTGAGGCCGGATTAAAAGTCCGACGAATTTTTTTTCCAAAAGTTCACTTCTTTTTTTATTTCTATCGTATTATACGAATTATTTGCGTCTTTAAATACAAAGAAAAGTAATGAAAAAAGTTTTAAATTTTTGTATTTTAACAAAAAATCATCTAATAATTTTATTTAATGATAAGGACAAAAAGAAAGAAAAAACAAAAAATATAAACATGTGTGCCGTTAAGTTTCATAAACAATGTAGTACCGTTAAATTTCATAAACAGTATAGTACCATTAAGTTTCATAAACAATGTAGTAAGTTTCATAAACAGTGTAGTAAATTTCATAAACAATGTAGTACCGTTAAGTTTCATAAATAGTGTAGTAAGTTTTATAAGCAGCATGTGTAAGGATGCGTGGATCCCGCTTTTCATTTTTTAATTTATTTTAATATTAAAATTATGTTTTTTTCATTAAAATTTAAGTTCTTGTCATTTTTATTAAAGTTTAAGAGTTTTTCATTAAAATTTAAAACTTTTTCATTAAATAAAGTTATAACATTATTTTTAGTTAAAATAAACTTAACTCAAACTCTTTTTATAAAAGTTCCCTCAAATATAGTGTACTCTTTATAAAAGTTCCCATAATTTATTTTATTTCTCTATTGTTTACATGTATACATTTTGTAAATATTTTAACCTAAAGGGAGGTGTGCTAGCAAAGCCGCTTAGCCAAACGTCACATTCACACCATTAATAATCGCTTTCAGAAAGTAACCTTTCCCTTCTCTCCCTCCCTATCACCTCTCATCTTTCACAGGCATGAAAAATATATTAATAATAAAAAAATAAGTAATAAATAATAAATAAAGTGAATGGTTGATGGAGTCTGAGTCAAATGAGTGAATCCCATTTCCCATGTTTTCTCTTTTGCTTCATCTCCATTGCATAACTAGCCAGTGAAAAATATATAAAGTTGTAGAATAATTGCTTTGGAAATTAAAATGACTGAGAAAATGTCGTTTTTTCTTTTATAAATACACACCTCTCATCCCACCTCACTTCCATTTTCTGCATATCTCCTTGTTTAGATTTGTGGAGCTGTGAAAAAATCCCAAAAGGTGGAAAGAAAGAACTCTCTGTTTCTGTCCTTAATTATCATCATCTTATGATCTTTTTCTTGCCATGTTTCACTGAGCAAAATACTCAAACACCATCTCCTAAATCTTCTTCATTTGCTTCACTTCTTTTAGCCCCATCAATCTTTTTCACCAAGATCATCCAAAACAAATATAAAAAATTCAAACTTTAGTTCCATCAAATCTCTTCAGCTCACAATTTCTTGAAGTTGGGATTGCTAGCTTAATTAGTTACTTCATTATAGTTTAAGCTCCCTAGTTGTTGTAGTTGAATTGCACCAAGTTTTCATAATTTCATTTGTTTCTGCAAGTTTCAAACTTTTTGTTGGTGATCTAGAATATAGTAATTAATTAAAGTTCTGGGGTGTTTTTTTTTTTTTTTTTTTAATTAGGAAGGTGCTTAATTGATTGATCTCTTTGTTCTTATTGATTCAGCTTCCAACTATGGCCTATGAAAGCAAATCCTTGTCCATGGACTCTCCCCAGAGAAAATTGGGTAGGGGAAAGATCGAGATTAAGCGGATCGAAAACACGACAAATCGTCAAGTGACCTTCTGCAAGAGGCGCAATGGGTTGCTCAAGAAGGCCTATGAACTCTCTGTGCTCTGTGATGCCGAGGTTGCTCTCGTAGTCTTCTCTAACCGTGGCCGCCTCTATGAGTATGCCAACAATAGGTAATATTATTGCTTCAATTTACTTGCAGTATTTTCCTCTTCTTGTTCTTCGTTTAATTTTTTAATGAAAGAATTTTAGAAAATATTTCAGACCCAAGTTTTGTTTATTTTAAATTTACCTTTTAATATAAGTTCTTTGTTCTTGTTAAAGTTCTTTTCTTTTTCTTTCTTCTTTTGTGCAAATTTTGTCACAAATTTAGCATTTCAAAAAGTTATTGGTGTTTCAGTCCTCAAGATTTTTGCTTCTGTGACATAGATCTTTGAGTGGATTTAATCAGGAATAACATAATCATTGTTATGGTACTCAGTTGAGTTGAGATTGAGTTCTCTCTCTCTCTCTCTCTCTCTCTCTCTCTCTCTTGTTCTCTCTATCTCTCTATATAACTTATAAGATTCACTTGTCTTTCTTTCTTGTGTTTTGTTTTTTTTTTCCTTGTATGTGCTTTTGTTGGGCATTTTTTTTAATTTAATATTTCTTTTCTGTTTATGATCATTTTCTTAGCTCTTGGTTTGGTGGAAACATAGATCTGGTGTAATAGATAGAAAAAAGTAGTGGTTTTGGGAATGTATGCAGGCTTCTGAGATCAGCTCCTTACCCTCCCTCCCTCCATTGCTGTTAATTTTCTGTTCCGCTTTCTCTTTTTAATCTCTCTCTCTCTCTCTCTCTCTCTCCCTCTCTCTCTACATGACTCTCTATGTCATCTATGAAGCTAAGCAGGCCTTTAACACACAAGCTGTCGTGCCCCCATTAGCCAAGCCCCCCATCTCTTTGACACTTCCTTAATAGCACGTCAGTTGTAGACATCACGAACGTAAAGTACAATTTTAATATAAAAAAAAAGAATTAAATAAATGTATTGACAGGACCTCTCTGCAAAATAAGCACAAATTAGGGTTCCAAGACACCCAAATGTGTTTTGCTTGAAATATGAAACAAACTTCCCTGTAGATCCATATCTGGCTACAACCACCAAAATCCAGAAGCTAAAATTCCCCAAATCTCAATTTCACCACTTGGAATTTCCCACAGAAAATTAAAAACCCTAATTTCCCAGATTAGGGTTCATAAGGAACAACATGGGGTAATCAGTTTGTCCAAAGACTTGTGGTGGGTAACCCTTATCGAGTAAAGGAGACATTTTTTCCACTGCCAATCAAAACCCAGGTGTCAAAATGTCAACTTTTTCCTTAAATTTGACATTTTTTGGGAATGGGATGTGGTCTAGTTAGGGTTAAGGTCTGGGTTTTTTTTGTTTCGTTTTTTCTACTTTGTCTTTGGTTAATAGAATCTTTGGTCACGTCACACAAGATTTTTTGGTTCTTGACTTCTGACAAAAGGCGTTTGTATCATGATTCCTACACTGTCTTCTCTTCCCCCTTTCCCAGTTCTTCAACCCTAAATTTTTAACCTTGCTGGTTAATTTTTTCTACTTGGATTGGATCTCACAAAGTAATTTCTTTCATAATTTATTTTTCCAAATTATTAGGGAGAGATAGTGTGTGTGTGTGTGTGTGTGTGTGAGAGAGAGAGATCATAGCTCAACTGGGTCATCAAAATTATGGCATCATAGAATGGTTATTGCATTTGCGGAAGATCTTGCATAGATATATTTATGCAAGTTTTATTTAGTGTTTGAGAGATACGGTGAAACAGAAACAACGTACGACAACTGCGAGCCAATGGGAAACGTCTGAGCGTTTGGCTTATATGTCAGCTGCCTTCTCTGCTGCTGAAAACAGACGGTTTTGATGTTCTCATCAGAGGTTCAGTCTTTCAGACAGAAAAAAAAAAAAAAAAAAATAATAATAATAATAATTTTTTAGGGTGTTTTCATTCACAAATATCCATTTACCTTCTATACATATCTCTCAATTTTAAAAATTTATTTACCTTTTATACATATCTTTTAATTTTTAATCGTCGATTTAAAAAAATTTAAGAGAATTTAAAAATAGAAAAATAGAGAGTGAGTGGTGTAAAAAAGGGTCGGTGTAAAAATACACAAGGTACTCGAGGTGGGTAAAAGGGTAAACTCCGGGCAATATCCCTTGTGTAATGAGTGGCAAGAGGTACGGCCCTTAATCTAGTTGAACCAATCATATTGGGGAGCTGTGCCACCGTGGCACAGGGAACCAATCACAAGCTCGACGATTTTAAGGAATCGGTATGCATAGGAAAACGTGAGTCTTTATTTTTTAAGAAATCAATGATATTTTTTATTGATTTGTATAATTATGATATTGATATATGGTTTTGTATTCACATCCGTCAGTTGAGAGACTGATTGATATAGGTCAGCAGGTCTAACTGAGAGAACTGAGTTTTCTTTTTGGTGTCAAGGAACTGAGATTTGATTTAGTAATTAGGCTCAGTTAACAGAAAGAGTTTGTTCATTTGACCGTTAGTAAATTGCCTTATAATTCAAATTTAGTCATAAAATCTCAGATTAAGTCAGTAGGATTAGCACTTAATGGTATGTGATGCATGTGTGCCTAAGGAAATGAATAGAACTAGGCAGAAAGGCTAGAGCTTGGGGAAAGAAATTCAAATTTTAGCACAGGCCGATTCTGACTCAGAAATTCTGCTGAGGATAAGCAGGCATTTTGCAGAAATTCTGCTGTGTGGTTGGGAACTCCCCTTACATGTTGTGTTCTTCTGTAAATCGACATGAACATCAGCAGCTTTATATATAATTAACCCAAGCGTTTATATCAAGTTAATTAAAACGCACTAATTTTCGTGCTCATTCATTTTTCTAGAAACTATTTGTGAAGAGAGCTCCACTTATAATTGCAAGCACCAAGAGATGACAAGAGAACCCAATTAGAACTGTTGGTTAAACTGAGATTGGAACCCCTACATGTATAAAATGCTTCCTTACTTTGGATCAGAGAAGCTAGTAATTAAGTTTCTTTTGTATAGTTATCCCCAAGATGTTAATTAGTTGAGAAAAATATTCAAAGGGGTAAAGGTTGAAAAAATAAAAATGTAAAGCCTTCCATTACTTCAAGCAACTTACTACTTTTTTTATAATTTATTATTATTAAGGGGAGAGGAAAGAGTTTGAAACTATTATAATAATGTAGAGAGAGAATTTCGAACCCGAGATGCAAAAGTATAAGAAACCCAACACACTATATTGAACCACATGCAACGACTAACTACCTAAGGCAACAGAAAATGGTAGCATCTTATTGTTTCCTAACCTTTTGCTTTCTTTTGCCAATTCTCAAATTTGAGACCTCTTTAAACATTGGAAAAAAAAATATCATGACTAAAGAACTAGTTGGTAGTTCCACTCCACACCATGTTCTTGAAGCTTACCATCTTATCTCCCTAGATGCTTTAAGATAAAGGTTGATTAATTAAGATCTTGTTCTTTAGTTTCACAGTATTTTTAGGGTAGAAAAGGTTTAGGAACTTATTTCATACCCGTTCATGTTTGAAAGTATGATCTGATAAGCTAGACAGAGAACCAATCTTTTGCTAGGTAGCTTTCCTCAGGGTATGCCTTTCATATTAACTGTCACAATTTTTCAGACCGTATATTTCTTAACATTATTAAACTGTGATGCATAAGCAATGCTATAGTATATATATGTAGCTTGCTTATAATTTGAGGATTTGGTACTTGCATTAATTTATATTGGTGTTTTTTGCTTTTGAGCACTGGTTCCATACATATTGGTTGGACTATGGGTTTGTTTGGTGTTTAAGTTAAATTGGATTTGATAACTCACCATATTGAAGGTGTGTTAAATGAAGAAATGAAGAATTTTGTCCAAGTTCAAGGTAGAAGGTAGATTACTCATGAAAAAATCTTACCCCTTTCAATCTCCTCAAAATTAATGGTAGGGTTAAAAGAGAAAATTTTCTTCGCATCTAATCCCTTTCTTTTTTTTTTTTTTTTTTTTGGGTCAAACATCTAATCCCTTCTAATCCCCTTAAAATGAAAAATTAGTTACCTCTCTCTACCTTCAACATACTTCAATTTTATGAGTTGTCCAATCCAATCTAATCTAATCTTAGTGACAAAAAAGAGAATGTCTAACATGGGGTATCAACGCATGAAGGTCTTTTCTGGTAGCTAAAAGTGTTATTAATTTATCACTTTAGTCGAATCCTCCTCATATTTCAGTGGTCCCTACATATATAGATTCATATATTAATACTATGAGTGCATACAATGCAGTGTTAAAGGAACAATTGAGAGGTACAAGAAGGCATGTGCAGATTCTTCAAATACTGGATCAGTTTCTGAAGCTAGTACTCAGGTACACTTACCCTGATTGTAGGTATTATTTGGCAGAAAAGTTCATAATTTTGGAGTTTGATTCTAAACGTTAGATTCAGTTTTTTTTGGGATTTCATTGTCGTTTTTATTTGATATCATCTAGGGGACCATGAAATATGAAGTCTTGAACTACTCAGACATTGATTTCAAGACTAGTTATGTAGGTCTTGAACAAAGCCAATCCATGACCAAGACAAGTCTTTTTTTCCTTTTTGGATGTCTTTATCAAACTTTAGGCTATATTATTTAATCAATCAATATTTCCAATATAAATCCGGAACTTGGGTGAGCATTCAAGATCCATTTTAAATTCTCTGTTCATTCACATTGCAACCAAAGATACCGGTAAAGCGAAAGCATTTTTACAAGAATATGCTTTGGTAATTGTAGTTAACCTGTTATCTTGATTAATATAATTGCCTTAAAAGAGTGGTTTCACACTCTCATATTTGATACAAAGATATCAAGTTCTCAGGGAACCAACAGTTAATGAAATTGTGTAAGGTTTATTTTTCCTAACTTGTAATTCATGATAGGTATATGGAGCCGTAATTATAATAATTATGTGGCTGTGTGCGTGTGTGTGTGTATTACACACATATATATACACATATACTAATGAAACTTTTCTTATATTTACACATTATGTATGTATTAACGTATAAAGCCCTAATTAAGAAGCAAACATGTGAAGGTGTACGTACCTGTGATATCTTAAAGCATGCATCCTGTTAAAGCAGTGTTTGTATGAATTTTTATCACAGTTTTAATGTTCAGATGTTTTAACCTATTGCTTTATTGATGTAAATCTCAGTACTACCAGCAAGAAGCTGCGAAATTGCGTGCGCAGATAGTGAAATTGCAGAATGACAACCGGTAATATTCTTAAAGACATTTAACCCTAGCTATACCATAAGCTTGGCAGCCTTTTCCTTGACAATATATGAATGTCGTTTCCAGGAATATGATGGGTGATGCATTGAGTAGTATGCCTGTCAAGGACCTGAAGAGCCTGGAGAATAAACTGGAGAAAGGAATTAGCAGAATCCGATCCAAAAAGGTATCTAATGAAGCTATTGATCCCTTTTTTTTTTTTTTTTTTATTTTATATGATTTTCGCGATCTGAACTGTCTGTTGTGATCATATTTCTAGCTTTTGCATAGCCATTGACACGTTTTTGTTTTCTTTCTTTCAAATCTTTAACTCTTTTCAGAATGAGCTCTTGTTTGCCGAAATTGAGTACATGCAGAAAAGGGTACACCACTTCAACTCAGTTTGCCCATTTTACAAAATTACTTTTTCTTATGATACACACACACACACGAAACCTTTATGGGAAGGGATCCCCATTTTTTTTTTATAAAAAAGGGAATTAGTTGTATGGTCAACAACACATCGAACTTTAACGATCCGAATCATCTATTTTTCAAGTTACACCTCATAGATCATCTTTGCAAAATATTAGCCAAATCCGAAATGTTTAAGATATCTAATTGAGTTCAAAGAAATTAATGAATACTTTATTATATAAAAAACAATGAAATTTTATCTTGATAATTAAATAAGCAAATGGTTTCAGATTGAATTGAATTTTTGTAAAGATGATCTATGAATCAAGACTTATAAAATAGACGGTTCGGATCGTTAAAGTTCGATGTGGAGTGGGCCCCACACCTAATCCCTATTTTTTTTTTAAACGGGAATTCCTTTGCATAAAGGGTGTATATATATACGCTTTATTTCTGAACATATTGTAAATGTGTTTCATCTGCATTTGGAAAGCTGTAGGCCGGCATCAAACTGTCTTAATCAACTTAATCAGTCCACGCATGGTAGAAAACATGATAATCTGCAATTCATTGTTATAAATCATCATTCTTTTGATGAATTGAAAACTAATATTTTTCAAGATTACTGGTGAAAATTTGATTTATACTTCAAAATTTTTGTTAGGCTTTTCTTTCGATTTATGAGAGACGCCTCTCACCGTTCTTATAGCTTCTATGTTGACTAACAGTGAGCTCTTAGTCTTAGATGTTAGTAACGAGCATTAATAATAGGTGACGATTTTCACACTCCTACATATGTTATATATCTACCTTGGACTCCTCTCTCTTATTTTTGTGCTTTGGTAATTTAGTAAACAAAGGGGAAATTAGAAAAACAAAGGGAGTGCGAATGGTGAATTATCGCAACAAGTTGTACGTTCGTACTATTGAAATCATCATATAACTAATGAGTGTTCTACTCATCAAACTGATATTTTTTGGTTTCATTATTGTCAAAATTTTCCTTGCAGGAACTGGACTTGCACAACAATAACCAGCTCCTACGAGCAAAGGCGAGTTCTCTCTCCTTCTCTTTAAAAAATTTGTGTGGTTTTATGTGCTCGTGCGCATATTGTGTTTGTGTTTATGTGAGTATGCAGTACGTATTTAGCTAGAACTCATGGGAAATTATGAATTGGATATATAGATAGCTGAGAATGAGAGGGGCCAGCAGAACATAAATGTAATGGCTGGAGGAGGAAGCTATGAGATCCTGCAGTCTCAGCCATACGACTCTCGGGACTATTTCCAAGTGAACGTGTTACAACCCAATAATCACTACAATCCCCGCCACGATCAGATTTCCCTTCAATTAGTGTAAGTTCATGAAAATCCCAAATTATCAAACACATTTTCACATACTACTATTCACATTGTTTTGATCATCGTTTATTCGTGCGCAGTTAATATATATGCTTGGTCTGCATTGCTTCTGCTGATTTAGTTTATTGTGGTGGGCGTGTATAATAACACCAGATGAATGACCAAGATTGCTTTGGGAATGAAGACCGTTGGTACCAAGTACGTAGGTATACGTACGTTACGTATTTTAGTATATGAAAGCGGATTTCTTGTCTGTATGTTTATATTTATGCCTGCAGCAATGTGTACTAAGATTTCTGTGAGAAATTACCCTAACAAGTTCCTCCAACTTACATGTGATTGAATCTTTCATAATGTTGGTTTGAGCATATTATATATGTCTGATATATAAATATATCCAAGGCTGCATGGATTATTTATTAATATATGTTTGATTGTGTGATATTTAGTCATGATTATAGGCTGAGTTTAACCAGTTGTGATATATATATATATATATATATATATATATATCGGATAAGTGTCCAACCGGTCGGAGAACCTGTATGTTCTTCTTGCAGAGTCTATATTGGAGGCCTCAGTAGGATGGAATGAATCCCATAATACATACTCACTCCTATCCTGGCATGGAAATGGAAAGGAGCACATAGACCTAATTGATTTACCGGACAGCAGCCCGGAATCAATGTTACTAACAGAAATTTAATGTACAAGCTAGGTATTTTAATTTATCTGAGCCGCCCATCGTTTTGGAGTTTCTTTTCCCAACATATGCACATTGGATCTTGCTATTCAACAGTGAGTCGTCTCACATACAAGTTTCAAGAGGAACGTCACATATGTCGGAATTATGGCATGTAAAACAAGTATTGTAACGAAAAAAATCACAGATGTAAAGAGAACGATATATCCCAAACCAAATGTATACTTGATACCAGAAGAAGTTGAACGTGTCACTAAAGAAGTATTGACATAGATGAACTTTGCATCTTTCAGATCGGCGTTGAGCAATGCGAGTTTCTGGTTAAAAGCACCACTAGCAAATGGTATATCTGATACTCCAACCAGGGCAACCTTCCTTACTCCATATTTGTGCATAGTCTTTAGTTAAAAGCAACATAAACAAATAACTAATCAATTAAAAACACTTCATTACGATCAATAACGTTTGTGATTATGTTTGACCGGAAAAAATGTGTTTGTGCTCAAGAAAGCGCTCCTTTCATCTTCTTCTTCAGGAATAAGCACTTACAGAAACACCTTCAGCAAAATTGTTTATGAGTAGATGTGCTTTCATACAGAAGCAGTCCCGCACGGCCACTAATCAGTTAGAAAATTTATCACTACTTACTAACCATGATTTTGTTGGAATTTTTTAGATCGACGCCCCCTCACGTATAACCCCATTTAGTGGTTCACACGTGGAGATCCACACATCGGAAAGTCTCTTTTAAAGATGTGACTCTTAAGAACTCAAAGGCCGGCTCTATGTTAAGAGTCCAAGGTTGTTTTCAAGCCCACACTTCTTGGTGACAAGCTTTTGGCTTGCACAGGCCCGTAACCGTGGGCTCTGATACCGTGTGTCGGGTTTTACCACAAAAAGTCTCAGTATTAGTTGGAGTGGGGTAATCCTATTTAAAGTCATTGTTTTTCTTTACCCCTATTAAGGGACTGCTAACACGCTCCCTCACGTGTAACCCCATTTAGTGGTTCACACTTGAAGATCCACACATCGAAAAGTCTCTTTTCAAGATGTGACTCTTAAGAACTCAAAAGCCGGCTCTATGTTAAGAGTCCAAGGTTGTTTCCAAGCTCACACTTCCTCGTGACAAGTCTTTGGCTTGCACAGGCCCATAACCGTGGACTCTGATCTCTTTTCGATGTGTGGATCTTAAGAACTCAAAAGCCGGCTCTATGTTAAGAGTCCAAGGTTGTTTCCAAGCCCACACTTCCTCGTGACAAGTCTTTGGCTTGCACAGGCCCATAACCGTGGACTCTGATACCATGTTAGAATACACCGATACTGTCCCCAACTTTACCACCTGCCCAATCCGTCAGGTGTGGGGTTTTACCACAAAAGACCTCATTATTAATTAGAGTGGGGTAATCCTATTTAAAGTCATTGTTTTTCTTTACCCCACTGACGTGGGACTGCTAACAGATTTGGCTGGAATATTGTTCAACAAGAACTGCAGCATATTGTTCAAGGGTATATATGAGACTGGTGTTAAAAAACAGAGGCTGGAAGTAACTGTTAATGTAATCACTGCTACCCTGAAACCAAAGCGTACTCTTCTAAGACTTTGCTCATTTATAAGATACAAACTTATTAAACATTATAGTGTTCTCAACATGTTTGAGAGGGTTTTTTTTTTATTTTTTTTTTATTTTTTTTTATATCAATGCGTTACCAATTCATTGGCAAGCGATTTACTTGATTCTTGTGGCTGATATTGAGGACTAAGAGGTGTGGTTTTAGAATTACGCTACTTCCTCATGCACAAATATTTTCGAAACCAAAGAAAACGAGACTAAGAGATGCCATGCGCTGATGCGCAAAGGCAAAGGCATACGGGAGTTAGGGTACGTACTCTTAGACTTTTGTTTGAAGCTGGTATGAAATCGTTAATTTATGTAGTTCTTTTAGAAACACGATTAACAGGTCCATCAGCCTATATCTTATACTTACATCAATCTCTCCCACGGAAATGGGTACAAAATACTTAGAATGCTTAATTCAACCTTATCAATCATGCTATGAATGGAAGAGGGAGATTTGAACTTAGAAACTTCTTTCAACATTGGAAAGAAATATACATCGCCAAGTGAAGAACTAGTTCATAGAAGCGTTTAATCAATGAAAGAAAAAGATTCGTAGAATTGAATTGGAGTCACGTTTGGACTAATATATTAGGAGCTTAATTTCATGCCAAATTGGCAAAAAATACATAATTATATTTACAATTATAGTATACTCTTCCTAGTTCGATCTTGTAAATGTCACGTAGCGATTAGTTTATTAATCTTTATGTACACGAGGAAGACTAATTTCAATGTAAAATATAATTTCTTGGCTACCCATGGTTATAGCCTAAGCTGAATTAGGTGACTAAGATTCATTGGATAAGTGTCCGACGAATTAGAAGAATTGTATGTCTTTCTTGCGGTGATGAGATTAGAAGCTTCAGTAGGATGGAATAAATCCCAGAACATATACTCACTTCTATTCTGGCATGGAGCTTTGGAAGGAAGACATTGGCCAGATTCATCTACTTGACAACAGTTTGTTTTGGTCACCTTGAATCCTGAAATATGAAAACAATACAAATTAATATATCACTTTAACTTGTTCTATTTATGAAAATATGGTATGTTTCAAAAAGAAGTTTCTACGACCCCTTGCTAGTTTAACACTATCCGGGTACCGATGGAGATATAGCGACTCTTGCTCGTTTATCATTGTGCTAGGGCCACACAGTGCACCACTTACATGTGACGACCTAGTTTTAGCGCAATTTCATTTCGTTAAAGTGAACATTATCGGGAGCTTTTCGTTAAAGTTCCCTACAAATAAACCAAACAACTACAAGGATGTTTTATCCTATGGTTTCTAGGCTAGATCTAAAAGAATATATGATAGGAACAAACAACTATAACAAGCACACAAAAGATATATATGGTGAACTGCCAATTTAGTCCCTGAAATATTACCTAAGTGAAATGTTAAGGGGTTATAAGCGAGAAAATGATGGTATTACATTTTAAAGTGTATGAAGTAACTTAGGTTGATGAAAAATTGAATAAAATAGCTTTGAAATAATAATAGGGATGAAATTAGCAATTTTTAATGAATGTAGGGACTTATTTTACCGAAAAAATAATTTAGGGACCTAATTTTCATTAAGGTGATAGTTTATGGACTAAATCGGCCCTTCACCCGTGTATATATATATATATATTGAGAGAGAGAGAGAGAGAGAGAAGATATGCAAGACCTAGTATGTCCACAGTGGTGCGGCCATTGCAAAATCTTCCAGTTCGTTCACCGGGAAAATCAATCCGTAGGGCTTGTAGTTAACTATAGCAGATGTCGGAAGGAGGTTATTATTGCCATTGTCCGCCAATGAATCGCCAAAAATGAAGAAACAAGGTACTTGTGGCTTTCCATAAACAGGAGGAGATTGTGATAACATTGAAACCACCAAAACAACAATATTCATTACGAAATAAATTGCTGCTTCTTTTGCCATTGTGAAAGAAGGTGGTAGTAGTAGTAGGATACAGAGAGTATATATATTACCAGAACAAATCACGATGTGAAGAAAATGGAAAAGGGGGGAGAATATATATAGAGGGGCTTGGAGATGTTACATACGTGTGTAGCCAAAGGGAGTATTAGAGGACCCAATCTACTTATAGTCCAGAATCAAAATCGATAAGTTTTCCAATTAAGGGTTAATTAGGCTCCACGTTTAAGGCCTCGCTGCCAAGGAAATTCAAAAGTGAAATAGTGAATACGTTGGACTTGAGGTTAATGAAGGACTGATCACATATTTTCTCATTTGGAAATGATGAGAAATGGTATTAAGATTATTTTGATTAGGAGGAATATCTTTTGCATTCATTCTCTCCTCAATTTCTATTTTACAAATTCACTACTTATTTCATTCTAAATATGTAAACGTGTAATTGATTGACTTATTTCAAACAAAGTGCTACTATGCCCATTCCATACTTTCATTTTTCCCACCTCATATTATATTTTCACCCTTCATAAAAAGTTTAAAAAATCAAACACTGTCTTCTCACCCATTATATTTTAAAATATCCCTAACAACTTTAAGTTACAAATAAAATAAATATAAAGAATGATTGAATCTTGGAGATATTAGGAAAATGGAATAGTCAAGAACGTCCTCGCCCAACCCAGCCGAAAGCAACCACAACTAGACACCACACATGGTTAATAAGTGGGCAGAGAATTAAGACTATGGGGTGGGCACATATCAACACTCCTTCAATGTAACAACCTATCCTAATTATTTAAACGGATTTTGAATCGGGAGGGTATTGTAGTAATTTTATTTGGAAATTGGGCTAGATATTTTATTTGTGCTTTTGGGTCTTCAAGTGTGTGCCACATGGGGTCCAATTTCTTTTGGTTGTCCCTCAGGCCCTTTTTTCTTTTCTTCTTCTCGGACCTATGAGCCCTCTCTCTAGTGGTCTCTCTCATAGCTCACTCTCCCTTTCATCTTCTTCTCCCCGAGTAGCGCACACACAGCTCTACACCCACACACTAACCTTCTCTCCCTAGGACCTCCTCACCTCCCTCGTTCCTTTTCTCCCTCTGCAACTGGGACGGTAACCCCATGAAAGTCGGTGCAAAACAGGGTGAAAATCGGCGAGTTTCACCTGTTCTTGACATTGGTAAGTTTCAGGGACTCTCTTTAACCTTCCTTGTAGATTGAACAAACTCTAGTTAGGACTCATTTTAGGTGTTTGGTGAAGGTTTATAGTGAAAACACCACGGGAAGGCTAGAACCAGTCTCCGACGAGAACCTGTGAGTTTCAGAGTGTTTTCCGGCCAACTCCGGCCACCATATATCATGAAAGTGCTACAAACTTCTTCCTTATCTCACGGGCTTCATTTTGATGTATAGTGTTGCAATGTTTGGTTGAGAATTAAGCTGACCAAAGCTGGGGAAGCTCCGACGTTCATTTTTCGTTGAAACCAGGCCTTTGGGCCATGCTAACCTAAGACCTAAAAGCCATTGTCCTTGGGCCGGGCTACTAATCCCAAACCTGAAATCCTTTAGCCCAACTCAAAGACCCAGGTCCAAATACTAACCCAAATGAAACCAGGACCTTGGGCCACAGAACCCGACCCAAAGTCAAGGCCCAGAACCGGTTGACCGGCCCAACCCAGATCAGAGGAACATTCCGTGGAATATTCTTATGTTGACTTTTTGTTGACTTTTCCAAAATTTATCCAGGACCCTTCTTAGGGTAATTCGACGTTCTGAATCCGTTTTTACGTCTGTTTTTCCAAATTCAATCATTTTAATATAGCTTTATTAATTGGACCCTTTATGTGCTTAGGTGCATTTATTGTGACATTTTTGGCTTCACTAGTTTGCGTGGCTTTTCGACGGCGAAGTATCTGTGAGTGGACCCCTTCTAAAATGCATGTTTTAGTAGTAGAAATGCATGCATGAAAAACATGATTTAATGGTTACGTTTTACGAAACATTTTATGAGTAAATTAGATTTACACTTTATGATTATCATGCTTTACTGAGAATATTTTAGAATATTATACTTTATCGAATTTATGTTTTTTGTAGTATATATGATGGATAACTATATACTATTTATGGACATGTTTTTATACTCTTTGTAGTATATATGATGGATGACTATATACTATAAAGATGTTTTGAGATATGTTTATTTATGTTGGAAATATTGTATTCAATGTTTTTGTGTTTATCTAGTGGTCACTAATATTCTGCCTACGGGCGATGATACTTATTGGCCTACGGGTCGAATGAAGATTTATATATTTGGCCTACGGGTCGAGTGATGTAGGGGCCTATGGGTCGATTATTATATCACTATTTAGCATACTATATACGATATATGTTCTAAGAAAGGTTTTATGGCATGCTAAGGTTTTCGGAAAACCTATTCCATATTATGCTATGAGTTTTCATAAAACTTTGGGGGTTAGTACATTATTGAATAACTATTTCAGTATTATATATATATATATATATATCAATTTGGTACACTCATGTTTTGTTTTGCGCCCCCTCAGGACTTAGAATTGAGACGTACAATCTCACCGTTAAGGCGCTTCTGCATCGGCATCTTTAAGTCCTCTCAGTGTAGGACCCATCCTTTTGTTGATTCAATTTTATATTATTCTTTTCTAGTTTCTTGGATTAGTTGTATGCTTTAAACACGTTCCTCAATTGCATAAACGTTGTATTTAAATTTATAAGTATTGTTTATATTTATTATTTCTCATGCATCCTAATATGGCTTAGTCACCTTCGGGTGTTGGCCAGCACGTGCCTACCTTGGTGTTTAGAGAATATCAAGGTCGGGCGTGTCATTCAAAAATTCATGCATCCTTTTAAATTGGCCAATAAGCTATTACCCAAGGACCTTTTAATATCTCTCAGGATAAAAGTTCAATTACAAAAAGAGAATGTTGGAACCTAAGACATCCAATGAGAATGAAGAATAAGGCAAGATAAATTACACATAAAGGCTTGGTCATTGAATTACAATCGTTGCCTTACTCTCTTTTTGTGTGACATGGGTGAAAAAAAAAGGGATCCTCAAAGTAAAGTTGTCAAGCAAATGATGCTTTATTGTAGTAGCAAAAAGTAACCATGTCTATACACCTTGGTGCCGGTTCTATCTCGGCTCCAGCCCACCTCCCCCGTAACAAATAACAATTTAATCCAGTAATATTATCGTTTGTCCAAAAAAAAAAAAAGTAAAGTCATCGAACTACACATTTGAGGCTTGTATTATTGGTCCTTTTTTTTCACATAAAGTGATAGAAATTTATTAAATTCGACCATTCGTTACACCCTATCTATGAGAACGTCCATTTCTACTCACATAAGAAGACATGGAGTAAGCGGCTCCGTTGCATTGAGTCATTGATGAGGAGCATGAAAAAACTCAACTTGACTCCAATTATTTAGCCATATGCAGAATATAGAAAGTAATGCCATAAGCGGTTGTATCTATTTCAATTCTCCTCTCAACATTCTCACAAGAATGGAAGAGATCTTCCTAAATCCCTCTTTGACGCCTCTCGCCCCACACCTCCCAGCGATGACTTGGATGACTGCCGCTAAGCTTGACACTTAGAGGAGTCCTCCGAGGAATCTTCCTAAACTCCGTGAAGGGTATGCGTCTTTCTAAAATATTGAGGTTTTAACTGTGGAAAGCTGTCATTTAGTATTACGGTCTAGTGATATTCCTCTTTATTTATAAGTGAGATGTCTTAGGTTCGAATCTCACTAAAGACGAATTTAAACCACGTTATTGCTATGCTAACCCATCCCCCTCCCTTTGGTATATGTAATATCGTTTGTTCAAAAAAAAAAAAATAAATAAATAAATATGGGAAGCCCTAGTTTATAATGCAACTAAGTTCTATAAAATAAAATAAAATAAACCTTTGATGCAAATAATGTGGGACGTCCCATTCTTTAACACACCTACTCACATCAAACCAATCTACTATACGATTGAAGAGCCAATACATTTGGTTTAATACATTAAGAGCTATTATGCCGTATCAATCGAAAACTGAACCCTGCCATATATGTGATTATTCCTATGTAATATCATGTAACATTTTGTTGATCACTTTCCATGTGAATTTTATTTTCTTGGCTTCTAAAATAATCCATTATCATAGGCTAAGCTGAACTAGGTGACTGATATCCATCGGGTAAGTGTCCGACGGGTCGAATTCTGTGTAAGTTCTTGTTGCAGTGATGACATTCAAGGCCTCTGTAGGATGAAATCCGTCCCAGAACACGTACTCACTCCTATTCTGGCATGGAGTTTGCCCTTCAGCACATAGACCAAAACTATTTACTGGGCAGCAGCCAACATTCACAACCTTGAATCCTGAAATTCGATGAACAAATTAATAGATTAATGTCACTTATTAATCATATAAAAAGATTTTAATTAGTCCCCAAAATTATAAACTTGTACCAGCAGCTTTAGGGTCTCCTGAGCCCATTCCAAAGCTGTTGACATAGATGAATTTTGCATCGGTCAAATCGGTGTTGAGCTGATCGACCAGAGATACAAGATTTTGGTTAAATATTTGGGCGGCACTGTTCAGTTTATCTACACACGCGGACCCATTTGTACCAAACGCTGAAATTGCACTTGGAGTGCATCCAATTAAGCCAATTCCAATCAATGCTACCTTCCTTGCTCCACTCTCGTACAAACTCTTTAAAAACAGTATGAAACATATTAACAATCATTTTTTTAATCAAATTTATGGGAAATGTTATTTAAACGTCTAGTTTGTCATTCTGCACATTTTAAGAAGATTTAAACGTCACGGGGCTGGCTAGAATGCAAAATGACAAACTGAGAATCAATAACAGGGTTAGGAGTCACAAAAGATATGGAAAAGTAAACAATTACAAACCATGATTTGGCGAGAATATTGTTGAACGAGAACAGTGGCATATTGCTCAGGGGTGTATAGGCGACTGGTGGGATAAAGTTCAGGCAAGAAGTAGTTATTAATGTAGTCATTGCTACCCATTCCGACTGAATATAAGCATTTATTCAAGTACTGCCCAGCTGATCGTTTACTTCTCAGAATAGAAGCAATGCGTGAGGCTGTGAATTTGTGATTCAGTAGCTGCTGATCTAAGCTGATAACAGCTCCCTGCAAATGCAAGGAAAGGTTCACTTTAATTAATACTAATTAAATTTTGCATATGGACAATATTACAGTATAAGTCATGCTTATTGTGATTAATTAGTAAATTTACCTGTTGGTATGAAGTTTCTGCTCGAATTCCTCCTCCGCCTGATGCATAATTCAAACCTTTTAATATTTCTGGGCCTCTGGCAGTTGCATATGGTGGGATGGGATTCTCAAAACCCAAAAGTTGAGCTGAAATTAGGGTAGACTTTTTCTAATCAGCTTCATTAATTTTTTTGTGCATGCCTTGCAACCCATACATCTAATAGATGGGTTAACATATATAGATAACTTACATATAAACACACAAATGAATAGAGAACATAAAAAAGAAAAATTAAAACACACGCACAAGAATTTTCATCTTCTGCATGGCCCTAATTAATCAAGTTGGTAGCTAGCCAATTAGATTGTGTTTACTAAATTAAGGATCAATACACGTAAACATAAGGGAGGGGGCCGGAGAGTGTTTGAATCCAGGATTGAAGAGGAAAACCCTGTTTACCAGGTATCAAGCCAATTGGATTGAATTTACCAAATCAAGCCTACAACTCAAGCTTTACTAATTATGTAGTCGCTAGCTAGGATGTATAGGGAGGGCTATGGTATGAACAAACAACAACTATATAGCGGGCACGTAAAAGAAATTTAAAGGAATAGGAGACGTTAAGACCTAATATGTCAACTGTGGTGCGGCCATTGCAAAACCTTCCTGTTGGTCCGGCGGGATAATCAATCCCGTAGGGATGGTAATTCACTTTGGCAGAGGTCTGGCGGTTGTTATTGTTACCATTGTCGGCCAATGAATCCCCAAAAATGAAAAAACAAGGTACTTGTGGTGCTCCATAAACAAGAGATGACTGTGACAGTAAAATCACCATAACCACAATCATCGTGAACCACATATTCGCCTCATTTGCCATTATTTTAGAAGATAATAGGAGAGAGAGAGAGAGAGAGAGAGAGAGAGAGAGAGAGGAAATAGGATATGAAGAAATCGAAGGGAGGAGGCAATATTTATAGAGACAAATCGAGGTTTCGAAATGTTACTTTGAATCTATATTAAAAAGTGGTTTCGTGGTTTTGGGCAATGTTGCTTTGTAAATACAAAATTAACACATTTGTTGACACACTCTCCAATATCGGTGGATTCTACATATAATAGTAGGTGCACACCTTTATTAGAGAGTGTCTCAGCAATGTGTCACTTTGTGTGTACAAATAATATTATTGCAGCAAGTGGTTTGTAGATCAGTTAATTAAGAGTGTTTATTCTTGCACTCGAGTTTAATGTTGATTATCTTATCGTTTGTTAATAAAAAATATTATTGCATTTTTATTGTATTATTATTTAGACATGAAAACTAATACACAATTTTTTTCGAGGAAAATGGTAGTTTTATTAATAATCAAGCATTACAATCGTCTAATAAAACATCACGAATAAGGTTTGGAAGTTCCACAAACCAGAAGAAAAATAATGTTCTTGATCAATGAACATATGATGCAACTTAGTACTACGGTCTAATGATATTCCTTTTCACTTGTAAATAAAAGGTTTTAGGTTCGATTATCGTCAAAGAGGAATTTGAACCACATTATTACTAGTCCATTGTGAGGCTTAGCCGACTCGCTCAATCCTTTTGTTGTTGGTGTTATATTGTTTGTTGAAGAAAAAAAAATGAACAGATGGCGTGGGCAAGGCAATGGGAGAGAGTTGGGGTAACCATTATAAAATAGGTTTAAATCCTCAATTGCCGGCAATCCGATCATAAAAAGATTTCATTCCCAGTTGAATTAATATTATTCTTCCCCGTGGATATGTTTATTAGAGTTGACTCAAGATTGGGCAAAGAATATTGAAGCTAGCAGCCGGTACAAGTAAGCTTCAATCATGGCATAAAACTGAAAGAAGGAATGATGATGTATGCATACAAATTGTTATTGCCAGTCTGTTTCAAGCATGACATATTTTATGCAAGTTTAATAAAAGCACGTGGAAGTTTAGGTACTTTTTCTTTAATTTTTTACCTAAAGATGCTCATTCGTTGATCTTTTATTTTATTTTCTAGAATTTATATACAATATTATATTGATGAAAAAAGTACAAAAATCATGCAGTATAAAATTTGCAACTGACTCAGACAGCCAAAAATGAAGGGATAATTAGATGTTGACCATCGACTTGTTTGAGATATCAGTTTTGTCACCCATCAAAAGAATGTGCTGGAGGTCAACTGACCCTTGCATAACTGGCAAAGTGCCGTTCACGGTTCATCAAGTAATTTTATTTATGTTAAACCCCAGCTTCCGGAGACAATCCAGAGCAAAAGTCGTCTTAAGGGGAGGAGGAAGGAGGAATTTGAAGCACTTCTGCTTTTCCTTCTTCCCTCTGCTCCACTCGGCTCCCTCTTTTCATTTTTCTAATCTGTTGTATTGAATAATAGCCCATTTTATGGTGACTAAATCTTCCTCTTAGTATGAGTTCCCCATCACTAATTTTTTGTCATTTTTCAATCAAATCCTTTTACCAAAATCCTCTCTCTTAGGTTTATTGGACGTAGTAGATGAGCTAAAATTTTGTGATGTTGGTCTTCTAGATTATACTGCAGCTTTTTTCCGTGTTATATTTTTTTTCTTTTGACTTTTGTCATTTGTTCACATCTCATGTTGGTGCGGTTTTTTCTAATGCAACAGGTAGTTAGTGATTTTGTATGCATATTAGCTATTGTAGCGGTCATTATTTATTTTTTAGTTTTGCTGTTTTTCTTCAAAGTTGGGGCTACTTGTATGCAAAGAGTGTTCCCTTAAGGGTTTTGTTGGCAATCTTGTGCACAATGTCTCCTATTTGGCGGATCATGAAGTGATTGAATTTCTAGTTGCCTGGATTGAAGTTCATTTGACTTTGGAATTCTATTTGTGTTCTTGTGCTTCTCGATCACACTAAAAAATCTGCCAATATGGTGGTTATTAGATTTGCCAAGTTGGCCTTTTTTATTGTTTTGGAAACCTCCTTGTTTGAGGATCCTTCGTATTTAATTTAGGATACCTTTTTAAGTAGGTACATTTTCTTAAGATGCTAATAAAACTAGTATTGTTTCACTTAAAAAAATAAATTTTTACGTCGTTGATGTTAAAAATATTTTGAATTATTTTTTACCAACTGAATTGTTTTAGCTAGTAGTGTATGTTGGAGTCTTGGCAATTCGGAGGAGGACCGGGCGCTTTTGAGCCATATATTAGCGTGTACGAGCTATACAACTTAGGTATATTTGGCACTAATTTATGGGTAGTTTACATTTTACCCTTTAGATTTAGAATCCATTTCAATTCCTTACAACATTTTTAAAACATTTCAATTTCATACATTTACTATCATTTTATTTTAATTTCATACATCCGTTAGAAAATCATTAAGTAAACCTGTTAAGTGATGACGTGGCAAATATGGGATCCACATTTGTGCTAACGTGGCTGCCAAATTTGTGCCACGTGGCAAAAATAATAATTTTTATGCATTAAAAATATTATAATAATCTAACCTTAAAATAAAAAAATAAAAAAAATAAACCCTATCTTCTTCCCCGAGCCCTTCCCATTCTCTGTAACCTAAGCACTCCATCCCACCCCAAGCCACCCAAAACCCACCCGTCTCCTACCTCATCACCTCCACCCTTTTTCTCCCTCCCCGACCTTCATCTCCCTGCAGAGCCGACTTGGTTATTCTCTGCCTACACTGCGACGCCAGAATACATGCTGCCACAAGTGAGAACCCCCTTATCAATCCACTCTGACATCCACCGGTGTCTCAATTTGAGTGAAAACCCTATAATCCAAAGCGGCGTAATCGCCGTTGTCGTTGCTGATGTGGTTGCCGTTGCTGGCGAAATCGAGGGCGGTCGAGATTTTGGGGTGGTTTATGGCGTCCTTCTAGGGAGGAAGGAGAAACTCGATGGAGTCGGAGGAAGAGATCTTTCCAGTGAGGTAGTCGAGGAGGGGCTTGCAGACTGCAATTGGGGAAAGTGACGGAGAGGGAGAAGTTGAGGTTTTGGTGGTGAAGGGAGGGGACGAAGGTCGGGGAGGTGAAGAGGGATGAGAGGGAGAAGGTGGGGGGGGGGGTTGCGGGGAGGTGGGGATAGGGTGGGGGGTTGCGGGGGAGGTAAAGATAGTGGAGGAAAGGGAGAAGATGGGTTCTGGGTTTGGTTTGATTTTTTTTTTTTAACTTTTCTTTGATTAATTATGTAACAGATGTGGCAACCACATCAACTCTTAACGGATCAATGGATGAAAAATGTAACAGATGTAACGACCCGTCCCTAAAAATTATAGTTTTCATAATTTTAAAATGTGAATTTATGAAAATGCCTTTTGAAGTAAATACGTTGACTTTTGTTGACCGCCTTGTTGTGTCATGTAAGATTCATTTTCTTGACGTATATTCGTAGTACTCATCGCTACGAACGCGTGGGCACAAACGAACGCAATTTGAAATTATAACCAAGGAGTTATTAACGAACGAAGTCGATAACAAAATGGTGAATTGATTATTTTCTAGAATGCTCTAGATTTTTTGGAGCAAAATCTAGAAAGCCACGTGTGTGGCTGAGATTAAAGGAAATGAGAGATGGTCGGTGGAGATGAAAAATAAAGGAGAGAAAGAATGGAGAGGTGAGGACGACAAGAGAGAAGGGAGAGGGTGAATGACCAATTAGAGAGGAAAGAAAGAAGGGGAAAGAAGTGAAAGGGGATGCACCGTATCACCCTTGACTCGGTTACACCCAGCCAACCCGCGCGACCCAGTTTTGACCCAAGGCTAATTCCAGCGATTTTCTTCAATTTTCATACAAATTGTAGCCAACCAACACCACCAATCAACTTGGTGTCATCCCATCTTCCATTCCCACCCAAGTTTAATGGCTATATTGGTCATGATTTCACAGCGAACACTCACGTCGGCTCCGAGGGCACCTATAGCAGTGAATCCGCCATTCCTGCAATGATTTCATGCAATTGCCACCACCACTGTATTTCCCATGAGCTCAGGAACAATGCCCAATCATTGGTTGGAGCATCGGAATCGATTTGAGGACAAATTAAGAGTCACATTTTTTAGGGTTTCGAACGAGTTCGAGTGAAATTGGGGTTTTTCCCGGCCAAATTGGCCTTAGTCATAATTATGAAAGTTGCTCCACTCATCGAGATCTTCATTCCTATAAAATTTGGGAATTTTTGGAGTTGTTGGATTTTCCGGCAAGTCAGGGCGGCTGGCCGCCATGCGCGGCGGCCCGTGGGGGAAAAGCCCGAGGTCACTCCTTAGGTTTCTCGACATGCCGAATCTGAATCCGCTATCCGTTTCCCCAAATTCTAACATTTTAGTAGAGTTTTACTAAAAGGTCCTTAGTTTGGGTGGTTCTCGGGCAATAAAATCAGTGAGTGAACCCCTTCTAAACTTATATTTTTTTTTTATAAAATATTAACTTAGCATGCATTTCATACTTCATGCATTGAATATGATTTATATTATGTTTTCCAAATTTCTATATTTACTATTTATCGAAATTACGTTTTATTAAAGAGTATGAATTATTGGATTTGCATTTATTGGTTTCTATGGTTTTTTTTTAATATAATTTATATTACAAATTTATGAATATGATTTGCCATGGATTTATGAGGCTAGGTTCGAGCTTTCGAGCTTTGATGTTTGATACAAGATTTTGAGGTATGTTTTTAGTACTTCTCTAGTGGCTTATCGGCACATCCGCACACCACGAGTATTATGTCTATGGCCATAGAACACAGATGATGGAGGAGTGAGATTTGATATATTATATACCCACAACTTCATTGTCGAAAGCAGTGTTGGACAACTTCACTAACCACGGCTAGTGTCGGTGTGGATGTATGCTATTTTATACAGCTTCACCTACGAGTGATGGACAGGTTATTCAGCTTCACCTTCGGGTGATGAACAGGTTATACCTGCTTCACCTTCGGATGATGGACAGGTCCTGCCTTCGGGCGACTATGAAACCCCTAGTTAAGTACCTTACTGATGAGATTTACGGATTTGCCTTCGGGCAACGTTTTCAGCATTTTTGAACATGGTTTTACATGTATCAATTTTACAAACATTTTCATTGCATGCTAGGGTTTTCATAAAACCTACTATGTAGTATTATATATATATATATATATGTTTTCAAAACAGGGGGTTATTATGTTCAAAAATAAAATGTTTTCCTATTATTAGTACTAATATTATAAACTTTGGTCCTACTCACCTTTTCTGGTTTTGCGCCCTCTCAGGAGTTAGGATCAAGGCACATAATCTCAACGTCAGGACTCTACAGCATAGGTATCCTCGAGTCTCCTCAATATAGGTCTCATTCCCCTTCTTCATATCTTTTCCTAGTAATTCTTCCATATTATTTTTAGTAGGTGTATGCTCTAAACACGTTCCTACTTTGGTATACTCGTTCTAATTGCAGATATTTTATTTGTATGCATGTTTAAAATGGCTTTGTCACCCTCAGGTGTCGGCCAGCATGTGTTTACCCTGATATTTAGGAATATCGGGGTTGGGGCATGTCAACGAAGGTACTATATTGAAATAAAATAGTAGGTGAGGTATGAAAGTGAAATTTTTTGAAGATGTTGTATGAGGTTGTAATAGACCTCAAACCTGAGATGGTAAAGTGTAATTTACCCCTAGATTATTTACACACATCATTTTTTTTTTGGATAAATTACACAAAATTACCTCAACTATGGGTTGCATTACAATTTCATAACTCATGTTTTAAACATTGCAATGTCATATCTTAATTTATGAATTTGTTGCAATGTCATACTTATGTTAATTAGTCTATCAAATTGACCGTTAAGTGATGACGTGACAATGCAAGGTCATATTTTGCTGACATGGTAGTCTACTTGTGTCAATGGTCAAACAACTTATAGAAATATTAAACTATTAAAATTATTTTAATTCATTTAAATACTATTTAAAAAAATTCAAAAAAAAAAAAAAACAACACAACACTCACCCCGCCTATCTCCTTCCTTCCCCATAACCCAGAACCACCATCCCTCTCCCCTTCCTTCCTATATTCTCTCTCCCTTTCACGCTGCAACAGCGGCCTCGTCGACTTCACCATCGTCTGCAAGCTCCAATCTCTAGGCTTCATGAACCTCGTCCTCTGCACCCACACTTAGCTCGACCTCACCCGCCATGCCGACGTCGATTCCTTTTTAGCCGCCGAGAAACCCTAATTCGTAATCCCTGCCAACGTCATTCACACCAATAACACGAATGCAATGGATTTCATCATTGTCAATCTTTAGATCCAAACCAACATCATTGATGGCACCTACCTATTTAATGTGACATCTCACATCGCCCAGGGGAGTGATCCTTATATATATATATTCTCATCCCTACCTAGCACGAGGCTTTTTGGGAGCTCACTGGCTTCGGGTTCCATGGGAACTCCGAAGTTAAGCCTAGTCGTAAGCGAGAGCACTCTCAGGATGGGTGACCCATTGGGAAGTTCTCGTGTGAGTTCCCAGAAACAAAATCGTGAGGGCGTGGTCGGGGCCCAAAACGGACAATAACGTGCTACGGTGGTAGAGCGGGCTTGGGAAGTGGTCCCCCCTAGGCCAGGATGTGACAATCGCGCCACTCGCTTAACTTCGGAGTTCCCATGGAACCCGAAGCCAGTGAGCTCCCAAAATGCCTCGTGCTAGGTAGGGATGAGAATATACATATAAGGATCACTCCACTGGGCGATATGGGATGTCACATTTAGAGTCAAGAAGCTCATGTTCCTCAACCCCTCCTGCATTTACCCCAAATTCGCTCATCAGCCCATTCTTGCTTATTTGCTTAATTTGGTTTCTTTTTCGTCCTCTGATGTAAATTACATGGCTTTCTTTGATTTTCTTGGCTGAACCCTTATGATTCAGAAATTGGGGTTTGATTGCTTTTTCATAAATGGTGGTTATGGGATGATGTGTGGCGAGAGAGAAAAGTGAGGGGAATGATGGGTTGGGTGGGGTGAGGGTCGTGAGGCTGAATTTTTTTTTTAATTTTTTTAAATAAATTAAAATAATTCTAACAATTACATATTTTTATTAGTTGGCTGCCATGTTAGCAAAATATGGCCCTGCATTTGCCATGTCATCACTTTAATGGTCAATTTAATAGATTAATTAATGGAGGTATGACATTGCAACAAATTCATAAATTAAGGTATGACATTGCAATGTTTAAAACATGTGGTATGAGATTGTGATGCGAAGCAATAGTTGAGGTAGTTTTGTGCAATTTACCCTTCTTTTTTATATATCTTTGTTTAGTTTGTTTGTTGTTTTAGTTTGATTTTAGGAGAAATTAGATTCTCATCCTTCCTTTTGATATTCCATTGATTAAAATCCTATTCCTTTTCAATTTTTGATCAAGGTCCTTGTGTATTAATAACATCATTAATTATTTCAATAATAAAATATTTTTTATTTCTAAATATATTCATTTAATGTTAAAAATGTTACAATTAGTATATTTATATTTATGACTAAATTTTTTATCATATATTTTTAGTTTTAGTTTATACCCATTTTTAATTTATAATTCTTTTTTAATTTGTACCAATTTTCTTTTTAGTTTTAATTTGTACCCATATATTAATTTCTTTTTGTACCCATATTTTTTAAGTTTATTTGTATTTGTACACATATATTTTTTATTTGTTTTTTTTTTTTTTTTGCTAAATGTACCCATGCTAATTATATGTACCCATCATGTAAAACTTTTTAATCTTAAAATGTACTCATTCTTAAATATTCCAATTTGTTATATGTAAAATGTACCCTTTTTTTATATAAAATATATTCAATTTTTTTAATCCATTTTTAAACTTATATGGGTACATTATTTTTTGTTTGATTTTAAAATGTATCCATGTCAAGTTTAATCGAAGAAATTTACTAATGTTATTAAGCCTAATATCTTTTTTTTTTTTTTTTTTTTGTGATTTTGAATAATGTAGCCATTGTCACATCCCGGCCCGGGGCGGACCACTTCCCGGGCCCGCTCCACCACCGTAGCACGATATTGTCCGCTTTGGGCTTACCATTCCCTCACGGTTTTGTTTTTGGAAACTCACGAGCAACTTCCCAGTGGGTCACCCATCATGGAATTGCTCTAGCCCCCTTCTCGTTTAACTTCGGAGTTCCTACGGAACCCGAAGCCAGTGAGCTCCCAAAAGGCCTCGTGCTAGGTAGGATGGGAATATACATTTAAGGATCACTCCCCTGGGCGATGTGGGATGTCACAATCTACCCCCCCTTAGGGGCCCGACGTCCTCGTCGGCACACACGCGGCCAGGGTTAAGCTCTGATACCAATGTCACATCCCGGCCCGGGGCGGATCACTTCCCGGGCCCGCTCCACCACCGTAGCACGATATTGTCCGCTTTAGGCTTACCATTCCCTCATGGTTTTGTTTTTGGGAACTCACGAGCAACTTCCCAGTGGGTCACCCATCGTGGGATTGCTCTGGCCCCTTCTCGCTTAACTTCGGAGTTCCTATGGAACCCGAAGCCAGTGAGCTCCCAAAAGGCCTCGTGCTAGGTAGAGATGGAATATATATATAAGGATCACTCCCCTGGGCAATGTGGGATGTCACTTATAACACACACACAATAATATTTATATTTTAATATTTTTAATCCCACAAATTATGGTTTTTTTTATTATTTAAAATCTCATTTATATAAACAACTAAAATTTCTAATTTTTAATTTAAAAAATATAGTAACGTGCATAGAAATAAATTATCACATTGATTTCAGGGATCTCGATAAAAAATTAAAAACCAACAAGGTTTTAATTAAAAAATATTCATCGCTAAAAACCGCATCCAAAGTCTCCCTTGATTTTAACAAACAAAAAAAATTCAAAATTTATTTTTGAACAATTGAAATCACTTTAATTAATTCTAAAAAAAAACACCTAGCATGCATATATAACACAATTGTTTACTTATCAGCAGCATTGCATCATACTGAAGCACCCGTGAACCAGGTTTAGCACAAAAACTTAAGGGTGTATTTCATTATTAATTGCTTTCTAGTTCTTTCAAATGATTCTTCATGAATACTTTGAAATTTTTATTAAAAAAAAAAAACTTATTGTACTTGTAATAAAAAAGCATTTTTAGGAAAAACTGAGTCAAGCCGATTTAAATTTGACGAAGTCAAACTCCTTTACGAATTAGGTTGCGATTCATAGGATTGATCAGCCCATAGTTCATGAGTTGGGGTAAAACATAAAATTTTGTTCCAGATCAAACCAAAACAACACATGATACGTGACAATTACAATCTTATCTAGCTAGAGACAAATGTCGTGATTTATTGCTCATGATAAGGATGTTTTTTTTCTTCATCTGAATGAGATTTTCTAGTTACTCAAGGGTATTCCATATTCCTGTTATTAGATCATAAGCTAAAATGACCAAGCTCTATACTCCGAATCAGCATAGAATTTTCGCTTATGAATTTTATTCGCAATACTTCTAACTTAGCTAGATCTCGTTGACTTGAGGATTAATTTGCAGCTCAGCTAATTGACTCATATCCATAGGATATGTGTCTGAAGGTTCAGAAGCTGTGTATGTTCTGCTTGCACTGATCAAATTGCCGGCCTCAGTAGGATGGAATGAGTCCCAAAACACATATTCACTCCTATTCTGGCATGGAGTTAGATCGGGAACGCACTGACCAACTTCATCTGCTTCACAGCACCCAGCATCCAAAACCTTGAACCCTGAAATATTAAATAATAGATTAATTTTCATCCAAATCATTTTTACAATTCTTGTGAAACCAAAGCATATATGTCAGATATAGAGAGTTTAAGTATCATAATTCGGCTATGGAACAGGCGTAGTGTTGAAATGATACATTGATAACATATTGATTCACCCTTGATATTATTGCGGATAATAAAACACGGACACGTTATGGATGCCTTCTCGACGATATCAATCCACATCCTTTCTTCAATAAAGAATAAACGGCTGACACAAAATTTATCAACCAAATTAAACAACGGGCGTCATATGCGAACAAAAATTACATCTGAAATACGTACCAGCTAATGTAGCGTCCCCTGAGCCCATTCCATAAGTGTTGATATAGATAAATTGTGAGTCAGTGAGATTGGTGTTGAGCTCGTCCACAAGAGAAACAAGTTTTCCGTTGAAAATTTGGGATGCATTGTTCATTATATCCACACATGCAGACCCATTTGTGCCATAGGTCTTAATTGCATCTGGAGTGCAGCCTATTAGTCCCAGTCCAACCAAGGCCACCTTCCTTGCTCCATACTGGTGCAACTTCTTTAAAAACATAATATTAAACAAAATAATCAATTTGTTGGTGGGTGTTAAGCAAGTGCAGAATCTAAGACATATTTCTTTTTAAATACCAGTCTTTTTCATGTCTAAGTTTTAGTTCACAGCAAATTTTTACAAAGAAAGGCATTGATAAAAAATAAATAAATAAATAAAGATATTTTAAATGACTTGTGACCTAATTTCAAATGTTTGTGACCTAATTAAGCTAATGTTTGAACTCAAGTAGCCCAAATGAAAGAAAAAGTGTACTATAAAATATATGTTATAAAAAAAATTCCAAAAAGGGTATTTAATCTTGTTGTTCTGCAACTCTTTTTGTTGGTTCAAGCAGTCCAATGACATTCTGAAATTAAAATAAAATGTGTTGATTAATAATTAATTAATTAATTACCAGTATTTGGCGAGTGTACTGTTTAATAAGAACATCAGCATATTCCTCAAGGGTATATTTTTGACTGGTGGTATAATACTGAGGCATGAAGTAATTGTTGATGTAGTCATTGCTTCCCATTCCAACTGAATATAAGCACTGGTTTAATTGATTTTTGGCTAAGCTTTTCTTTCCAAATATGTCGATAATGCGCGACACTGTAGTTCTGTGATTCTTCAACTGTTCCCCCATGCTAATACGTGCACCCTGCAAGACAAGTTTATCAAACTTTTTATTATACAACAAATAGCTAAAAGCTGAGTTAATTTAAGTGATTAAGTATACCAGCTGCTTTCCACTTTCTTTTCTAATTCCTGCTGCACCAGATGCATAGTTCACTCCTTGGAGTATGTCCGTGCCATTAGCAGAAGCAAATGCTGGAATGTAGTTTTCAAATCCCAGAAGTTCAGCTGTAATCAGAAGCTTAAGCTGTCAGAGAATGGACAACCAAGTATATCGAGCTTACACCCTCTCACGTGCAGATTCATTCTGCATGCAGAGAGGCAAATCAACAGAGAAAGAGAGATAAACACATTAGCCAATGGTGTAGCCCCACGCTATACCCTCTAAAACCAACAAAGAAGTGAGGAACGAGAATCGAATTCAATATCAAAACAAGACTCTGATACCATTAAACAACTTCTAAACACACAATTTTAAGCTGTAAAAAAACAATTTATATAGCTTACAATGTGTACTGAACACAAAAGGATCCCAAAATATAAACTACAATGTAGAAAAACTACGCTAATTTTTTTTCGATATTTTGAAACTTTTAGTTCCAAACCATCTTAACCATCCAAAGTAATTTACCATATATAGTTTCTGTGATTGTACGTAAGACCAATTCAAAGAAGAAAATGAAGGTGGAGAAGAGGCGCAGACCAAGAATATCAACGATGTTTCGGCCATTGCAGAACCTTCCTGTTGGGCCAGCGGGGAAGTCAATACCATATGGCTTGTAGTTGACTTTAGCCAATGTGGGAAGCTTGTTGTTGTTGCCAGGATCAGCTACTGAGTCTCCAAATATGAAAAAGCAAGGCACTTGTGGCTTTCCCAGGACAGCTTGTGGCTTTCCCTGAACGAATTGCTGCATGTTCGATACCCAAGATAGAGCAATCACCACAGCCAATAGTTTCGTACTACCAGCCATATCAAGAACGGAAAATACAAAAAACCAAAATTTAGAATAATATTTTAAATAGAAGAGAACGAGGCAAAAAGGTGAAAGCTAGAGTGACTATTTAAAGGTAGAAAATGGAATGGAACTTCTGGTGAGACCAAGACCAAGTTTGGCAACCACTCACTTAGGGTGAAAAAAATATAAAATTATTTGGAAGCATTTAACACGTTTATTAACACTCTCTAATAAATATGAATTCTACAATTATATGTAAACTCTACTTATATTAGAGATCGCGTGTCAATCTTGTATTTTCAAATAAGATCACCCAAAAGAATAAAATCCTTGATATCGATATAATTTTCTTTACAAAAGGTCTCCAAGAAAAAGTATGACCAAAGGCACAAGAAAAAGTACGAAATATGACGATAAGGACTACATTAATGAGTAAGACAATACATAAAAGACGAAATTGATGACTTTGACATATAAAATATCAAACTGATAAATTAGTAAAAGATAATGCATTTACTATAATAATGAAAATGTATTGAGTCTTTATATGACGTTGAAATCTCATCTTTCACTATTCTAACATTTAATTTAATAAAATTTATTGTTTAACAAAAATAAAGACCATTTATAATAAAAACTCAAAAGTAAAATAAATAATATTCAAAATCTCCGAGACTTCCGCACCTGCACTTTCGTACCAAAAAGTCACGTGTCTTTGATAAGAATGGTAGACAGCTCGATCTTCACCAAGGAAAGAGGGTTGGCAGAATTGTTGTTCACGTGTCGTCTTTCTAAATAATTGTAACTCAAATAGTTGATAGTACTAAATATGTCGGCAGAAATTGCTGTTCAATTCCCCCCACTTCCCAAATATTAGTAAAAAATACCACTTCATTTTATGTTTTGTCAAGTCATCATGCACTCCTATATATCTCATTACTGTTTTCATAGTATAAATCTTGTAACATTTCCTTTCTACATAGTTTCTAACAATGAAAATTAATAAAAATGATATTTGAATTTGTCTACTATAAATCATTTTAGTCATTCTGTAAGAAAATATGTTAATATCTTCGTTAAATTATCACGTTAAGAACCACATGACCACTTTGTTAAGCTATTTTTGTCAAACCAACTTCACTTAACGAGGATATTAATAGATTTTTCACGGAATGACCAAAATAATTTACAATGAACAAACTCAAGGACCACTTATATTAATTTTCATTGTCAAAAATCAAAATGAAGAGTTATAGCAATACCAAAGAACCATTTTAGCTAAAAAGCATTTTCTTTCATGAGATATTGAGGCAAAGTGTTTAACCAAAAAAATGAAAATTTCCCACACTCTTGCAATATGTTGATTTCGGGATGCCGTGAATTTTGTTCGCGTCCATATATATATGTATGGGACCAGTAATATACATATACATATATATATATATATAATTATATGTGTGTGTTTGTGTTTGTGTGTGTGTGCGTGTGTGTATTCCTAACAAAAAATGGCTCAAATAGTTGGTCCATCGATCATTTCGATACTTTAATCGCCACGAGTACCTCACCTTCCAGTTACAGTGCATCTGTAATATATATTTATATGTGCATGTATATTTATACAACCAAATATATGTGGTTCTTAGAGAAGGAGAAAGAGAAAGAGATGTGATTATATAGTAATAATCAAGTTTGTCACATTGCCTGCAGATCATATATATATACGGCCAAATTGCCACAGGACACTAAGTGAATCATGCCCTACCTATCTTTGGAGGGATACATAGCTTACGGCTACCCTTTTCAGCTACTGCCCGTACATGCAATGCAATGCAAGATCTATGAGTAGTCCCAAGTAAAAGGCGGGAAGTTTTGGCTCCTAGCCTCCTAATAAGCTTGCAACTTTGGCTGGCGTTTTGGGCCTTTTGGGTTCATATATATGCTTTTTAATTTTATTTGCAGTTCGGGCTCAACTCCTCACTTTACTTTAGTGGACCTACAGGTCGGGTTGGGGCTCTGTGCTCTTTCTTTCTGTGTGGGACGAGAGGAGAAAGGGGGAAGAGTCGACTGATGACATTGCCACATGTTTCTGTATTGGCCTCACGCTCCAAAACCCTAGCCATATATTGTTGTCCTCACACTCCCACTGGACCACAAACTACCATCGACTGTTCCTTTAGGTTGGGTTTAACCTCCAATGCTTCATCCTTTTGTATTGCTAGTATTATTCTGTTCCTATGGAACATTCTAGATGCATTTTTTGTTTTTTCTTATGTTGGATATTGTTATAAATTATATTAGCAATTTCGTAAATGTTATGCATGTGAGGCATGCGCAGTTATTAACGAAAACATTGGAAAAAAAATAGGAAAAGGGATTAGTTGTAGAAAAACATGGGGTTTTATTCAATTTTTGTATTCAAAAGCTATTGTAATTTACAACATTAGCCTTATAATATTTCAACTGGTGAAACACAAATATGGTTGAATAGAAGATTTCTCAGAAAAAAATATAGTCATGATTTAGCAGTTTGATTTGAGGAACCCCCAAATGTTATTAGGGGGAGTCTCAACCAAGATTTGTACTCTCGTTGGGTTAGTTATATAAAGTTGTCGTTTTCCTTTCAAGATATATACACACATTAAAGGAAGCATGATGAGGGTATAATGTTGGTGGATATTTATAGAAAGAAAATTTAAATTAAAAGTTGTGGTGTAAATGAAAACATGAGTGAATTCTGATAAGAGTGGTGTGCAAATAGAAACCGGACAAAGAAAATATATATATATATATATATATATATATTTTTTTTTTTTTTGGGACAAGGAAAGTACATTCATAATAAGGGCTTCTTTATCATGAGTTTTTACTCCATGAAAAAAAATGTTGTTGACCACTTAGTGTTACGGTTTATGAAAAAGTCTTAAATTTGATTATCATCAAAAGTGTTTCTAACCAAATTATTATGGCTAGTTCATTACGAGATTCAGTCTACTTTTGTATCTTTTAGTGTAGATAATATCGTATATGTTAAAAAAAAATTTGCTTAGGCTTATTTATAAAAAGTTTATTTGAGAGAACTGTGGAGAATTTTTTAAGCAAAATGAAGATCACAAGCCAACAAAATTTGTAAAGCAAACATTTAACAAGGTTATTTGATAGAATTTTAGAAATTTAGTTTGAAGAAAAAAAAGAAGCAAAATGAAGATCACAAGCCAACAATATCGAGTCATTGACATGTCACATTAGTAATAATTGCACTTATGCAGCCGACATATGTGATGACACCAAATGTGGGGATATATAATGCTATTCACCTATTTAACCTGTCTGTAAAGTTGACAATGAATGTCGGGCACTGGGGAAAACAATTGAAATTGAGACGGGGTCGGCGAGACCACTCATGGAGCTTCTTTTTTTCTCTGAAGTAAACGAAACAAACTCAATTTCGTATTAATTTAATCCCTTCAGTAGTCCACAAGAAGAAGATCAAAGTTTGATGAACATTTCAAAATTCTAAAAACCAAACATGATTAACTGCAACAAAGAAAACCATGGCGTACAAGAAAGCACGACGTATTATATAGGTGCTAGTTTTTTTATGATATGATGCAATCATGCAAGCATGATTATATGCCACTGCAGCCATAAATCAATGATTATGTGGATGATGACGACAACGATGATGATTAAAGAAGGGCAAGCCGGCGTATATCGACCGGGTAAGCGTCCGAGGCCTGAACGGCGCTGTATGCTCTCCTTGCTACAACAGCATTGCCAGCCTCAGTTGGATGAAATGCATCCCAAAATAGATACTCATCCCTATTTTGGCATGGAGTTTGGAAAGGAAGACATGTAATTTGGCCATTGTTCCTCCCTACCCCACAGCACCCTGCGTTTGTAACTCTAAATCCTGAAATAAAACACACCAGAAGCACACAAAAAAGAAAGAAAGAAATCCTAGTGAGTTTTAATCAATAATTACGGCAGACTTCATGAACCACTCTAAAAAAATTATCTTGAAAATACAAAAGAAATGTTTCGACATTTTTACCTTGATTTTGCTCTTTACTAGTTGATTATGTTAAAATTAACTGAAAAGCAATCACATGACCAAGAGAGGGAATTTTCATTTTTACTACTTCATCAGGCAATTGGTGATTGCGTGATTGCTTATTCATTAATCTTAACAGAATCAACAAACAGAAGAAAATCGGGTTATGTCGCAACATAAAAAAAAAGGGTTGTATTTTCAAGATGAATAACATATGGTTTTTGAAAATTTCCCTTTGTAATTACCATATTGTGCAGGGTTGCTTATTATGTCCTGGAAAATGCCATAAGAGTCTACGAAGATAAATCTTGCATCTGCTAGATTAGTGTTGAATTCATTGGCAAGTGCCTTGAGCTTGCTATTGAAAATTTGGTTTGCAGAGTTTATTTTTTGTACGCATGAAGAACCATCTGGGCTATTTTGTGCCAATTCATTTGGACTGCAACCTATTTGACCAATTCCAAACAATACAACCTTCCTTGCTCCATAATTGTACAAAATCTATACAGCACACATCAATCAACATTAAATAATTACAATCTAATGGTTTTAAAGGAAACCACCTGATTAAATTTCATAATATAGTCACACTAACCTATATATATGTATGTACATATACATATACATATACATATACATATACATATATTTATGTTATATGCAAATTACCAAAATCTATACATATTTTATATATATATATATATAACAAGTAACACATGGCCATAACTTAAGGTGCATTCTCATTTTGTGTCATATTTACGCTTACATATACATATACATATACATATATTATATTTATGTTACATGCAAATTACCAAAATCTATACATATTATATATATATATATATATATATATATTTAACAAGTAACACATGGCCATAACTTAAGGTGCATTCTAATTTTGTGTCATATTTACGCTTGCTTTTATCATAGTTTATATGAGATAACTTCAAGCTACCCTGAGATCTATCTAAGGGAGTGTTACGATCTTATGAGAAATGTTCTTTTATCAAATTGTCAAACAACATAATATATTCGATTGTTTGATGGAATAATGCTGCA